TTGCTCTAGCGTAATGGTCTAAGACGTACAAGCCAAGTGCGATTCTTTTTGCTTGATTATATACTAATATAAATGCTATCGTTTGTGGCTATTTTTTATTCAATATATTTAACTGTAGATCTATAAAATCTTCTTCTCCCACATTTTCTGCAGATTTGTTTTCTTCATTTATGGTTTCCTTAACTAAATATACTTATTTGAATGCAATTCATTTAATTCCTATACATTTTGATATTCATTAAATCGTAAATATTAAGCTATAATTTATGAATTCAATTCACCTCACTAAAATCAAGATTTATTTATTTATCTAGAACTTAAAAATGGCAAAAACATTTATTAGTTGGGGCAACAACTTTTTTGTAATTGCTTTAGGTAGTAAAAACTAGGAGAGAACCAGCGCACGATTTCCAGTCCTTTACATGTATTTCATGAAAATATTGTATCATGTATGTTAGTATACATGAAAGAAAAAAAATATATTGGTTATCTACCGTACTTATACACGCCTTGTGTAATCTTCAATTATTTGGTTGACGTGTGCTTTAAGCTTTTCAAGCATTAATTCCTTGTCAACTTGTTTCTACTGCTTTATTTCTCAAGAAATCCTAAACTTTGTTGGTTTCAATCACAAACCTCACACATATATGCTATAGACGAACTAGATCGACCTAGCTAATTTCCATTACTGAGAGTAAGAAATCTTAACTAAACACCTCTATAATTGGATTTGTGAGCGAGACTAACAAAACATATATCTCTACAAGAGACTAACAAAATATAGTAATGGAAAATACTACATTTAATTACAAAATATAGTAATGGAATAGAGGTTAGTAGATAATGTATGCATGTATTGTAACAGTTTTTCATTAAATTGTCATTAAATGTTGAAAAATGAGTATACTAGGATTTGGGCCCCCTAATGTTTGTCTTGGGAACATAAACCTAATTACTTGTACAGCCCAAGATAATTTAAGACGCTGGATCGGATCCTAAATAGCGTTCAAATTCAGTTCATCAACCATTGAGAGCAACACTGAAAATACTTTGGTATATTAAAATATGTTTATCAATAGTATCTTAAAATATATTAAAATATAAAGAACAATATAATATTATATGAGTATCTCAAAAATGAGAGATTTGAAATTGGTTTCTCAATTTTTGAGATATCCACATAATATTATACTATTATTTTTATGTTATATATAATATTATATGATTATTCATATTTTAATATTTTTTTAGAGATCCATCAACATACCATTGATGGAAGTGGTCTTAGAATTTTATAAGCATTTTATAAAGTAGTAGTAAAATATTACTTTATATGTCATTATAATATTATTTTTTCCGTTTCAAAATATATGTTGTTTTGGCTAAAGTGCGAATATTAAAATTTTTTTTTTTTAAAAGTATCA